TTTCCATGTTTAAATATTCGTGGCAAGAGTTCTGATCGGCCAAATCTCGAAAAATCTTATCTGAAATAATCCTTATTGTTCCGAATTATACAAATAAATATGTGACTGAAACAAATGTATTGACGTGGCCATGATATTTATATTCGTGAAATAAATTATTAACGTAATAATTTGATTAATAATTTGGAACAAGATTTGATTTCATATTTTATTGAGGTTGCAATTATTGTAACAAGACTTGGTCCCGAGTTAAATAAAAAGAGACAAAAATAAATTGAAATTGGAATACATTAAATATTCATATACATCCCTTGGAAGTTATTTGGAAATTCTGCAAAATATTCAAGAATTTAAATATACCGAAGTTGAAATTTATACATCAATTTATTTTATTTAAAAATAACCGTTTCATTATTTTCATACGAAATTTTAATTTTAATTTTTTACCACAAAATGAAGAACAACAATTAATATAACGATATCCAACAAATAAAATATAAACGGTAATTTAAATAATTTAAATATAATAATAATAATTAATACGGAGAAAGAATTTCGAGGGAAAATTAAAATATATAATACATCAAACAGTTACATCCATGAATTTTTCACATTTAAGAATCATCGTTTGAAATTAATATATTAAACGAATATATTAAAAGATTTCGATAAAACAATCGAAATGGGTCATTGAGTGGAAGAATGTGATCAATGTAAATCGTGATCCATTCAATTTCCGGATAAGTATGCGGCGAAAAAGGGGGATCAGTTTCGAGTTTAAAGGGTGGCAATTAACGCGAGTAAGGAGAAGTATCGTGGCTGAAAGGATAGCTAAACCAAAGCGGAATGGGAAAAAGGGGCGAATGGATTCCTTCGATTCCGAGACAACCGCTTTATCCTGCATCCAGCTGTCAATCGATCGACGTTACGATGGCTTTACTTTTCTTTTTCAATGTGCTTCGAATTGTTGCTCCAAGTTCGAAACGTTTGACAGCTTGAAACGTTGTGCACAGATAGAAACGTGACGTTTTTTGAAACGATTTGAACAGTTTCGAATTGCAGAAATTAAGTTTAAGTTGGCAAAACAGTCTCGCCGGTACAAATCTATTTTAACATTACATTGAAATATCCGATTCGAGAAATTGAGATGGAATTAACGATTTAGTTAGTTCGAATTTAGCATCAAGATTAATTTAGAAAAGTGAAAAACAAAAATAAAAGAAAATAAAATGTTTAAATATAGCTTTGTATGAATTGAAATATACCATTTACAATATTCATCAATCAGTGATGATTATATATTTTGGAGTATTGAAATGATAAAAAAAAACTGTATGTATATATAAGATTGGCATTGATTTAAATGTAAAATGTATGCAATTATTTTATAAATAATTTCCTCCTTTTCCTCCCATCTTTAATTCTAAATAAAACCTAGCCAAATTAATTCCTACAATTGAAATCGTTCAGTTATACAAAACAAATGACAAGAGAAAAATTTTCCACGCAACATACACAATATTCGATATAATCTCTATCACTCATAAAAAGAAGATATACACATTCTCTTCAAAAACATTCTTTTCCATTAGAATTCATCTTCAACCCAAGCAATTTCCCCTAATACGCCAACGATGAACGACTAATTACGACTTTTTGAATTCTCGAAAGAAAAAAGGAGGCCGTTATCCGAAAACTGAGAGATCTAAGGATCCAGCGCGAGCACAGTAATGTTCCCTCTAACGGTCGAATACGACGTTCAGTAATTCGACGAACGATGTCACTGATTTCGAACAATGAACGTTTGTTCTCAAACGTTTCTCTACCGCTTTCTCTCTCCCCCTTTCTCTCTCTCTTTCTCTCTCTCTCTCTCCCTTCCTCAAAACAAATATTCATTCGAGATTCATTACCTAAAAGGGTTGACACACTGACCCGATTCGACGGCTATTTAAACGGACCAGGTTTTCCTCGTCGTTTACGCGCTATGCTCCTTCGTTTCTCTCGATATACCGCGTATTTTACACAACTCGTGCCGCTATCTCGATATTTGTTTCTCTTTTTCTCCCCATCAAAAGAGAGAGAGAGAGAGAGAGAGAGAGAGAACGCGCTCGAGAGAGTCTGTCTGGTTGATATCGATTGCGATGGGAGGGGTTGATTCTCCCTCATTTCAAACAGACCCCTGTTGGCTCGCGAGAAGGTTCAAGTTTAATTACACCACCGTCCCGTGTGGAAATTAATTTGAACGAAACGCTGTTACTTTCGTTGAATTACGTTCTCACGGTGGAGGTCTCGGATTCGAAAAATCGATCGTAACATTGGATAAAAAAAAAAAGTTCAAAGTTGGCCTTCCAGTGGAAATGGATTTTCGGATTTCAAATTATGTCAACGTATGTTTTTATTGCTTGTAAGCTTGTTATTGTTGCTACATCTTGTTACACACAAAAGTAATTAATAGTGTGTTGCTTTCTACAGGTAATAGAAAGGGTAAGGGAAAATCCATTAATCTTTCGTTGTGCTTCGTTTCGAACGCGCTGAAATGAAAGGAAAATAATCGAGACGATAACGGAGAACGATTTATTAACTTATCAAAGATAATTGATGAAACTATTCTTCTCGAACCGAATATATATTTTCTGAAGATCTTTTGAAAATATTCTTTTATTAAAAAAAAAAAAAATCCCTTCGTTCTTTTTCGAAGCTGCGTTTAAAATATTTGAAATTCCACGTATCATCCGTCTTTGAAGTAAAATCGAAAAGTTCTACGTATCACTTTGAAGATTTAGAGACAAACTTGGAAAGCTAACTTACAATATTTATCCAACCAAGAAGGAAATGACAAAACTTTTCAGTGTTCTCGGATATTTCGAAATGTTACATAAAATGTTTTAACTACTAAGGGAGTCGGTACCTATTATTCATCTTATAGAAAGAAAAGCAAAAAAGAAGCAGCACAGGAAATAATAAGCTTAAAAAACTTCAAAGAAGCACATTAATATGGCAGGGGATGTCAATCCGACGATGTCAAACCACTCCCCTTCAAAGACCACTCCCCGTTTCAGTTAGCCGTTACATCGCTTACCATGCATAAGTCCGGAATCCTCTTAGAGGGACGATAAAAAGATTTTCGTGGTAAGTTCGCGGGATCGTGGCCGTAAGTACTTTATATTTTCACGTTTAAGGATCGATATAAACGACCGGGAGGCGTAATATAGGGGAAAAAGTTGGGGACGAAGCCATCCAGTGAGCTGGGACCATTGCTTCAGAGTGGATTAGTTTAGTTTATAATTTCCATACACTGGCCAGGCGGTCATGAGAATGAATGGGCCACTGTTTTGACGTCAGACTGGCATCATGCCGACGTGTGTATAGTTACTAAAACGGTGCTATGGAATTACGAGTGTATCATGCCTCTGACACGCTTATCTCATTAGATTTCTTACAACCTCGATAAAGAGAATGAAAGGAAAAGATCACAATCTTTGCGTAGATAATCTATGTGATGATAAATGAAAATATTTGAATATTTTACAGAAGACTATCTAATTTGAATGTAATTAATATGAATACAATTTAGATTGATAGAGTAGTAGTTTGTTCTATTTATATTTATAATTATTCTGAGAGTTTTTAAGATAAAAGACAGTGAATTTAGAGTCATATAGAACCATCCAAAGCATAAGATGATCTTTTTAATAATAGTATATATATATATATTTTTAAAAATAATAACACTCTACTTCCCACATAGTTCATCTTTATCTGATCAAATAGATATTGTGTATCATTGGCACACAACTCTCATTGTATTAATTGCATTGTTTGTTCAAAATTTTATTACTATATTAAAATTTGTGCCATCAATGTAATCCTCTTGTATTCATTCTTTAAATTACCAATGATATTCTTTTTGTTTAGAATAGTGAATAAACAAAGGGAAATAATAATAATGAAGGTGCACGAGAAATGATAAAATCTAGGTCAGCGTCATTGCTTCGTGTTAAATAATCGTTTTAGAATAAAATTCCACTCACCCATGATAAGCTAGAAAGGACAACAAGAAGAAGATGCACGCGAGTACGTCTGCTCGTCCTACGATCCCAGTTACCTGAAACACGAACGAAATCGTAATGAAGATCTGGCAGAATGCATATATTACGATGATGAATAATACATATATTGTACAAAAGTTCATTTTTGAGTATCACATATTTTAGTATATAATCAATTAAGAATTATTTATTTATATTCCTAAAAAATATAAGCATATTTGATGAAATGGAAAAAGAATAAAACGTGATATAATTAGCCATGTATTTTCGTATTCATTAAATTGAGACGCTTGTTCAATTTATTACCATGAAAATTATTTATAGAAATAAATTTCACGCGAAATACGATGAAATATTTTTACGCTGGAGACTTATAACAGATATTATTTTAATAACGATATTGTGTCACTAAATTCGTATTGAAATCGAGATAATATCGAAATCAATATAAATATTATGAAAATTAAAATGATTATCAACATCTCTTCGTTCATTTCATATAATTTTTCTGACAATTTGTAACTCTACTTTATTGATTACATATACTATATATTATACTATCATATACACTATTTATCGTAACCTAGTATATAATTTATTGAATACTTATTTTAATTATTTTAATTTTAATTTTTAAATTTCTAGCAATCATACTATATAATATTAAACGTATGAGAAACATATTTATACTAACTGCTATAACGATTTCTATTTTATTTATATTTATATTCATATGGCAATGCTTTCACGTTCTTTATCGCTCTATTTTATTTCAATATATCTCGTATCTCTTCGTCACGCGATAGATTTGTAGACGTGATCAACTCACGATAATATACTCCATTTGTTTATAATTCACGATTTATATTGTCCGCAATTTTATCCATCGTCAACATAAAATATTACGTAGTATATTATTGACATACACTTAATAATAATCCTTCATAGACACAACTTATCATTATTAGAACAAAATCTTTTGCTCATCGAGATAAAACTTGAATTTTCAATTACTAATTTTTTAAAATTACGATTTATCGTTCGACAGACGACATCAATAATATGGATCCTTCATGAAGTATTATACGAAGAATGTTCAAACAAAAAATGATCCTATTTTGGGATAAAATTTAACGATAATAAAATAAAGTAAAATAGAGAAGACCACGTTGGAAAACGAAAATTCAAGAGAGGGTCTCTTTCACGAGTGCAAACGATGACGAGCATGGCCATGTGAGCCAAAGAAGCGAGCAAATTGAAAGAGAAGAGGTGGCTGACAGTTATTGACAGCCACCAGTGAATAATCGAGATTCTCGAAGAATGTCTTGAAAGTTCCAAGGAGAGATCCAACATTCTCGATGATCGTCTCTACGTGTCACAGGACCAATGTCCTTCTTTGTTCCGTTTTTTTTTTTATTCTGATCTATTCGCGAAAAGGAATTTCGTAGAATCAATGTTTCTAACAATTTGATTCCATATAATTTGATTCGAATATATGTAGTTCGAAATGAGGAAATCAAAATTTAATTTGATAAGCATAATAATATTTTAAAAAATCCATCGGTATAATTATTTTTAATTTAGACAAGCAAATGTTTATACTATAAAATATTTAGAGTTTTGTGATCTATTATTTTAAAAAATACTCATCAGGCAAAATTGTGTATGAGAGTATGATAAAAATTCGAGGATTGATTTCACATACTTAAAAAGTTGGAGAAATAAATTGTTCTACGTATAATCCATTATGATTCATATGCCCATAAATTTTCATTAAAATCGGATTTTTCGAGATACGTGCATTTCCTTGTAAAATAAAAGTATAAAAAATTCTGTGATCGATTGTATGTACTTTTTGTAAAAGATTCTCAAAGTAGTATTTATGACCGTTACTGTACATAGTTGTATATGTTATTAATCTTGATATTCAAAAATGTTGCTGGATATAAAAAAATGTATGGACCGTTCTATATTTAGATAAAAAATACAATTTGATTGTATTTTTGTTTGAATAGTTATCACGCAAATCCATTAAAATATTCGGATACTTTATGAACAATAACGTATGTACATTCCTCAAATAAAGAAAAATTATCACAGTTAGTTTCGAGTAACTAACTCTATATATCTCAAAGTATATATTTTAAGCAACAGAATAAATAACACGAAACCAATTAACTGAGACGAACAACGTACGAATTTTGCAAAAGTTCAAGTATTGTCGGATCTTTTCATTTGATTATATTAATTTCTAATATGGACGATGTGGTTTTCGAGAAATGATTAACGTTTGTCTGGGAAATTTCGAAGTTTCTCCGATACCATTAAATTTTCATCATTATTAACTGTTCTGTATGGCAATAAATTACGTCACGTTTAATGAAGCATCTTGCTACACGCGCTCGATGCGCTAATTTCATGCATTTTGTAGATGATTCAAGGAAGGATGGAATAAAATCGATGCAGACATTGACGATCATGACTCTTAACGCGATCGACAGACAATAAATCATTTATCCTTTGATAAAACTTTTGAAAATAAATGGAAAGAAGGCAATAAAAATATCTTTTTTATCATAAGTATTTCACTTTTATTGTAGTCACTTTTATCAAGTATATACTCGTTTATGAATTTTTAAAAAAAAAAGGATACAAGTTTAAAAAGAATCTATATTCGAGAAAAACAAGTGAAATAACATGTTTGGTTTTCTAGCATTCAGATGTATGCCATGTCGAAAACAAGTTTATTTCTGGCAAACTAATAAAAGTTTATAAACGCATTCTACATGAAATCGATATTCCAATATCCTCTATAATCACTGCTTACAAATTTCATCATTTCAATATATAAAATACATCGTTCATTCGATCGAATTCATATTCAAATTTTTCCACACTTCAATTCCATTATTATTATAATAATCTATCCTTAACCTTATCCTTAACTTATTTCGTGGGGATACGATATTATACGTAAGCGACTTATCACGTTTTATGAGTTATAACAACAATTCGAGGCGTGAGATTCGTCGCAGGTAAATGGGCCAAAACGAAATCGGTATAAGATAAACAACAAGTTGACGTTTTTCCTGTCCTCCGCCTTATCTACCCTAACCGCTTAGTGGAAGGAACTCCAGGAGGAGAATCTCAAACAATACTTCGTCAACGTCAAGAGGGATGAGAAAGGAGTCGAAAGTGGCCTAGTCGAGGAGCTATAAACGGAGGGGCTACTTAAGATAACAGAGATTACCCACCCTACATTGTGATAGATTCTTTCTTTCGCGCGCCTTCAATGTCCCTCGAATTGATGGCCAGGGATAATGGGTAATTTCGAAAAAAAGAACAACCGACGAATTATACTAAGTGGCGATTCTTGTTCCAAAAATCAGGGAGGGCGAGATTAAAATTGATGATGAAATTAAAAACTTCGTCCGAACAATTTTGCAATTTTAATGTGAAAGTGAAAAAAATTCAAAAATCCATTTTGTTCTATAAGAAAACAGACATGTTTATATTTCTGGTTTATATTTTTGTTGTAATGGCAGAAAAGAAAAATCATCGAGATCATTCCATAAATAATTATCAAATACAATAATTCCTTTTTATTTTTGAATTACAAGACAAACTAAACCCACAAAGGACAAAAACGAAGATCAAAAATATTCTTCTTCTAGAACTTTCGAAATATAAACGACAAAATGATACCTAACATACCTAAACGAATCCTCGAGTTGTCGAAGATCGCCTATTCCCGCGGAAGGTTGGATTGGTTCGAGTAGGATGCCTATGCTCGATACGTTCGTTCAGTTTGCTCCAGTTTGTACTTAACCCAACTCCATTACCATCTCACTCGTTCAAGAGTTCTAATTGATTATATGAGGCGGTAGTTTCCGCAGGAGTTCGCTCGTTACTCGGAGCTGGCTTATCCATCCCTCCCCCCTCCTCCACCACCATCTTCCTCCGTCTCCGGTTTTCTTCCCCGCGATTCCTCTTTTAAAGGCGGGGAGTCGCGTTCCTTTTCCGCGCCTTTACTCGTAGACGCGCGTAATTAACGGGGGAGAACTCCGGTGCTTAGACTCGTCGAAACGGCCGGCTCCTTTGACTCCCTCCGCAACTCCGCCCTGCAAAGCGTTTCCCTCTTTGGATACTCGAATGTTCGAATACCAGGGCAAATTCAGGGGAGACGGTTTCATCGCTAATTTTGCCGCGGATATCGCGAATTTAGTCGGTCGTACATTCTTGATGCAGCAACGATGGAGAAATGTTTCGATGCTATTTTGCAGTGAGATTAAGTGACTTTTACTTTCACGCTTTTATTTTTTTATTTTTAATTTAAAAGTTGATCAAAGAGAAGAAAATTAACGAATTGCGTTTTATATCATAGCGTATAACATAAATATATCTGTAATTGCGATAGGCAAATGATTCTATTCTTCAATTTTTGGCTAGCCAAATTCAAGCTAAGATTCTGTGCTGCCTCTAGCGGTTGAAATTAGAAACGCTTTTAATTTTAATCGATTGAAACGACACGAAGAAAGGGGAACACGTGAATTTTTATAAATTAATAAATTTATAGATAAACATGTTGATTAATATATTTGTGTCAATAATATATGGATATGCATTATCTATACTGATCTATAATGTACAATTATATAATTGTATATGTTATATAGATGGGTAAGGGAAGATCAAATGTGGTTAACCCTGTAATATCAATATTCCCGCAAGTTAATTAATTACGATATATTATACGTAGTAAATGATAATTTGCGAAGAGATACAATGCAAATAAAAGATAGAATTTCAATAATAACAATAATGCGATTGAAATCAGGAATTGATAGAATTAAATTTTTGTAAATAAGATATAATTCTGGATTTCTGGTAACAATCGACTGTGGAAATAGGAATCATGAATTTTTTTGAGGATATTATTTGAAATTTTGACAACCAACTCAATTTCATCGTACAAATAAAAGAAATAAAATTCGTGAAGACATAATTGAGTCGCAAAGGACTTCTTCTTATCCTCCAGATAAGACTCTTTATTATC